AAATGAGATGATGGAAAACATTACAAATGAATGGAATCTAAAATCCAGAAATATCAGAAGTTGAAAAAGTCTTCAAACTGAGAGTAGAAAAAGCAATGAACATTACTACATTTTGATAAAGTGAACAAGACATAAAAAGATGTAAAAATAATAAATGTATATACCCTGAATCTCAGAATACCCATTTTATAAAACAAGCACTAAGACATAAAGAGAAATATAAACCCCATAATTAACTGGATAAATCAGCACCCCCATTAAGGCCAACAGACTGAGCACCTAGCCAAAATAATGCAACAATTTTTAGAGTAAAATTACATGGCAGGTTAGAGAGACTTAAGAAATATCCACAGAACATTCTAGCCAACCACTGCAGAATACACTTTCTTTTCACTAGCTTGTAGAATTTTTTCAAAATAAAATAGATAATATTTTAGGTAGCAAATTAAATGCAAGCAAAAGTGGGGGATTGTTTGTTTGTTTGTTTTTAATTACATCTGTATTGGTGTGTGGAGATATACATTTCAGTGATACTCCTACAGAGACCAGAGAGGGCAGCCCTTGGGGCTGGAGTTGCAGGCAGTTGTGAGACTAACAAAAGTACTGGAAGGCAAACTTGAGTCTCTACTAGAGCAGTATGTGTTCCTAAGCACTGAGCCATCATATCAGACTGACTAAAAATAATACCAGTGTTTTAATAATTAATGTTTTTTCAAATTATATTTATATAGTTTCTCCCTTTCCTTGTACTCCCTCCATCCACTTCCATGAATTCTTGTTGATCTCTCAAATTCATGACCTCTTTTTCTGGCCTTTTGAACATGTAATAATATAACACTAACAGCAAGAGAAATTGTAGAAAATAAGCAATATAAGGAGGTTGGATAATAATTTTTTGTAACAAACAGATCACTGAAGAAGTGTGTATGTGACAAGAATGGTTAAGTATTCAAACTGTCAAATGGAAAGATCAACACAACATACTAGAATCCAAAAGTTATGTTGAGGAACTTTATAGGTCTGGGCACAAATGTATCTGCAATAGGTGACCTAATGATTCATCTCATCATCATAGAAAAATGAGAACAAAAATCAGTAAAAAGAAAAAAAAATAAGAGCAAAAGCAAATGGAATAGAGGTTAAGAACTATACAAAATAGCATTATAGGAAACAGTTAATTCTTTAAAAGATAAAGAAATTGACAAATTCCTCATCAAACTAACAGAAAAAGATGTTCCAAATAACAAAATTTAAAATTAAAAATGAAAACACTTATAACAAATACTACTGAAGTCCTAATGATTACTAAGGGATATTTTAAACATTATATACAAATACATTAGAAAATCCAGAAGAAATATAAGTATTTATAGGCTCATATTTTTCCTACCAAAATTGAAATTAAAAAGAACTTTAAATAAATCAATGACAAGTAATGCAGTAGTAAAATCTTTTTTTAAAAAGTTCAGGACTAAACACATACATTGCTGAAAGTTCCAGGTTTTTGAATAACTAACAGCAATGTTTTTCAAAATATTCCATAACACAGAAAGGGAGGATTCTGTTTCATTATTCCATCTCATTCATACTATGATGAGTGTATTAACCTGTGAACAAAGTCAGATTTAAAAAGAAACCACTAATAATACAACCTATAAGCAATTTACTTGATGAGCACAAACACAAAAATCCACAATAAAATATTGACCAATTTTACTCAACAATGAATTTAAAATGACACACAACATGGTAAAGCTGGTTTCCCTCCAGGGATGCATAGATGATTTCATAAATCAATCAATAAATATAAGACCACATAGAAATAAAACAGAGGATAGTCATACAATCATTTCAACAGATACAGAAAAGTTTGTAAATAAATTTTGAAACCCTTCAACTCTAAAGTCCTAAGAGGGTAATCAAAACAATCTTATACCAAACATGGTAAAGGTAACAGTTATTTTCTTAAATGCTGAAAGTATTTCCTTTTGAATCAGGAAAAAGAAAAGCATATTGACTAACCTCAATTTTATTCAATATTATACTTGGACTTTTAGACATAAAAACTGTTTTAAAATAAATGAACTTATGCCTAAAACAGATGATATAAAACTCATATGCCCCAAAATTTCACACTAGAAGATTCTTAGAAATGATAAAGTAATTCAGCAAAGTAGCTGGATACAAGACCAGAACATAAAAATCAGTTTTTTGTACATCAATAATCAATGTGCTATGAAAGCAATCAAGGAAATGATCCAACAGTGACCTTCAAAATATATTTAGAAATAAACCTAAGCACAAGACTGGAAGAGGTCTATAAATGAAAACAGTAACATTATAAAAGAAAAAAAAATACATGAAGGAGACAGCAGAAAATGCAGTCTGTACATTTTCTTAGCAGAATTAATATTATGAAAACTGTGCTATTTATAAAAGCAAACCAATAGAGTCAAAAGCAATATTCATAAAATTACAATGGCATACCTCACAGGACTAAATCAAAATAAAATGAGTCCTAAAATTCACAAGTAAGCATAGATGGTTCAGAAAAACCCTGGCAACCCGAGATAAAAGAACAAAGCTGCAAGTATCATGTAGCAGGATTGCCTGCTGCTAAAGAGATTTCACAAAGGAAACAAAAGGAAACACAACCTGTGAGATGGATAGAACTCCTATCTGATAGAAGAATGTTACACACAATATGTATGTTCAAGAAATTATCAAAGAACAAGTAATTCAATCTATAAATAGTCAAAGGAAAAATACAGCCTGCTAGTAAATAAAGATGTTCAAGCATCCTTAGCTACCAAGGATGGAAAAACCAACACTGCACTCATATTCCATATGACATTAACAAGAATGGCCATTATCTATCCAATAGTGACAGCATCTTCAAAAGTCATGAGGAGGGGGCAGAGGAAAAGGAACTTAACACATTGATGGGAGAACACAAACTGGCACAGTCATTATGGATATCAACATGGGGATTCTGCAAAAACAAAACAAAACAACAACAAAAAAAAATCCTACAACTTTTAAAATGTAAGCTATATGTCTCTTTTATATATACTTAAAGAAAAAGTTCATTATACAAATAAATACCTGCATACTTGTAGTTATTATGACAATACTTACACTAGTCAAATTACCACATGAGACATGGTAACTGCATAAATATAAAGAGGAAATGTGGCATATATACATCATTAATAAAAGAGAATTAAATCATGTCAGGAAAAATTGAAGGTCATTGTATTATGAAAACAACCCAGAAACAGGAGGACAAGAACCACATTTTTCCCTTATGTGTGAAAACTAAAATACATAAATAAAAATTACTGAAAAGCAAATATTATGGAATAATAAGGAAGGAAAAGATTAGCATGGGCAAGGAGGGAGCTTCCATCGGTGTACAATAAATGCATTCACAGCTATGCAAAGTAACACCTACTAATCTGTGCTTCTCCTCATTAATCACAATAAAAATTAATCCCAAAAACTAAAAACCATAGAATGCAAGACACTAGGGATAAAAGAGAATTCTTACACATCATGGGTCAGTATGCAACTTAATATAAACGTTTTGGAAAATAGTATGGTATAGTATGACTCAAAAAAAATGCTAAAACCTTTCTGACACCAATATTACCACTGGGTATACACTTAAGGAAATTAAATATGCATCCCCCAAATGCATTTTTGTTCCATGTGTTTATTAGAGTTCTATCTAAAATGAATGTCCAGAATATGAATAAGCTTATACACCAAGTGTGGTATATGTATTCAGTAGAATGCTACTTAGCCATAAAAAGGCAAAAACTTCTGTCCTTTCTGAAAACATGAATGGGTCTAGAGGATGTTGCATGAGTTGAAATACATCAGACACAGAAAGATAGATATTTCATGATCTCACACTTATGTGTAACAGTAACAGTTGATCCTGTAAATGTATAAAATAGAATACTTATCAGAAGCTAGAAAAGGAGATAGCTAATAGGGACAAAATTATAAATAAAAGAAGTAAGTACTGTGTTCTGGGGTATAGTAAAAATGGATATAATAAAAAAATTAATAATTTTGAATGATAAATTAGAGGTGAGGAACTTAAATACACTCAAAAAAAAAAAAAGGTAAAAGTTTAGGGTATACTAACTATTGTGAGTCGACCATTTTCTTTTGTATTCCAAAACCAATACCACATTGTACCATAAATAGGTATATAATCATTGTAAGACTATCAAAACCAAAAAGACATAGACAGTGTATAGAATCACAAAAAGTTCCAAATAATTATATCCTCAACATAATGCCTCAAATGCTTCAATTTCATTAAAAAGATATGAGACTCAAAATCACATACTAAACACTTGAAACACATGATTGATTGTCCCTGTGTTTCAGCTCATTGAACAAGTCAGGATCAGTCTGGAACGCCACTTTTAAATGGTGAGAATTTACTCAAATTGAGGATTTTATAACGTCTTTGGTTAGTTTTTTATAGTATATTATTATTAATATCATTATAATTATTATTATTTATTTTCTTTGAAATATGCCTTATCTTTTTTCAGTCTCCATGGTATTTTTAATACAATTTGCTCATCTCCTTAGAGTATAGAAAGAGCAGAGATAAGCCATTGGTTTCCTTACAGATGTTTCCAGCCTCTTAACCTTAGATCACCACCAGTGTCCCACAGTTCCCATGAGGTGTTTGTCAGAATTATAAAAAGCCTTGAAGGAACAGATTTCCTAACTCAGTGCCTCTTCAGCCACTTGAGTGCTTTCTGTCACTGGGCCAGTAACAATCTGACTCTCCATTAGGTTGTGCCCCACAATTCTCCTCTGTGCATTGGACACTCTTGTATTTGTGAGAAATGCCCTGTAAAGGGTAACTAATTCCATTATTATATTTCTACAGTGAAGTGAAGGTGCTAATGCATAACACCCAAGTGCCACTGCCACTGTCGAGATTCACAACCATGAAGCTGCCCATCATAGCATTTTATCCAAGAATGGTGGTTTATCAAAATCCCCTGTGGCTCCTTTATTTCAACGTTAGGCAGGCCTGGGACTGCAGAAGTTGAAAAGAGGATGAACCTTCATCAAAGACCTGGAAGTGAAATGTGGAAAGTAACAAAATAAGAGCATATTAGTCATAAATACACATACATTTGGAATATTCATATTTAACACATATGATATCAATGTGCAGAATTGTAATTTTAAAACATACTTCAATGTCAAGTATGAGGAGATAAAATAGCAAGTTTATACTTTCCAATATCACATTTTAGTAAACTAAAATATTATGACTTAGGTCAGGGTTGTCTCTGATGTATAAAATTAAACATTTCAAAAGAAAGAGCCAGGTTCGGCCAAAATATTTACTTAATGCAAATGAATAATAAAAATGAGCAATTCTGAAAGATCATTTTAACCAATGAAAATTCCCAACATTTCATTTTCAGCTATAAACAAACATATACATGTTTACACAGTGTTAACCCATGGAGTTTACCAAACAGGTTTATATGCAGCAACAGACCATTAAGTGTCATGAATAGAACTTGTCCTAGCCCTTCAGACATCATCGTGTGTTCTGCTAGTCATGTGTTTCAGTGTGGCCTAGGAGGTCTCTTTAAGTTCATGGGACCCATTCAGATTAGAATTTCTTAGATTTGAGGTTCTGCAACCATATTTCTTTATCATGGATTATTATGTGCAATAGAGTCTGAGAATGTCAATATAAGGAGAATACATGTGACCAAAAAATAAACAAACAAAAAGCCTTTGTGGAGAGGTTACTTGTAACACACAGTGCACAGTATCCAAGACTACAAGTTCCTGGACACAAATAGACAGATCACAAAACGAGGTGGGCAATCTTCCCCAATCTCATAGTGTCATGGGTTAAAATTTCACTATATGATAACTGTGTAATAACTATGGGGATTATGTATTTTAAAATTAATGGCCTAATTGCTGCATTTGCAAAATAAGAAAATAACTAGCTTATAGTGTGGTTGTGAGAATTAAGAAAATGACCACACTAAATTCCATTCCATCATCCTGAGTACAGGGCCTTCAAGCCAATAAGTGAACTCTCTCACCATCATGGCTGCAGCCTGAAGTTGTCTGTGCCTCTCCTAGGTTGCACACTCTGCCATCAGTCTCAGGTTGAAGCATGGCCTCCCTCTGCTTTGGCGGAGTCCCATTTACTTTCTTTCACCTAACCTGAAACTTTACTGTGGTTTTTCCTTCCTGTCTTTCTGGACTTCAATGCTTCCTTGTTTTTATTGACTTGTACATGAAACTACCTATCATTGTTTAGAACATTAAACCAGACTACCACTTTGGATCTATGCTCTGACATTTACTCCCTCTGCCATGCAAGTCAAACTACCTATCATCTTTCAATTTCACAATCTATAAAGCAAAATTGATAAAAAGAAAACACTTCATAGGCTTCCTGAAAGTCTTAAGCATAAACATACATAAAGCAATGTGACAGTTTACCTTATGTGTTGATTTGGATAGCCCACCACACTCAGATATGTAGTCACTCACTTTTAGATATGGTCAACTTCTAAATCAATTGTTACTATGAGGAAGTATATTACTGTCCATGAGACAGGAGGGTCTCTGCAAGGGGAAAGGCTTAAAGAGAAGAACACTGAAGAGCACCTCCACCACAAAGGAAAAGAGAATTCTTTCCTGGATCTCCGGCTTGCCATTGGCCTTATAGACCTCAGACTTGGCAACCTGTATAAGTCCATGAGCCATCTCTAAAACCTTAAGTTTTCTTCTTACATGTCCATGTTTAGAGCTGTACTATGCAAAGTAGCTGAGAAATGGAGCCAGCCCAGATGTCTATCAACTGATGAGTGAATGTGAAAATGTGGTGCATATATAAGCAATATGATTTCATTCACCCATAGAGAAAAATGAACTGATGACATCTGCAGGAAAATGGTGGAACTGGAAATTGTTACATTAAGTGAAATAAGACAGACTGCAAGCACTACATATTTTTCTCAGGGATAATAGGAGAGGATGGCAGGATGGGTGAGGGGACTGGGATTGACATGTAAAACAACTTTGTTTCAAATATAAATTTGAAAAATATAAATTTACATTCAAAACAGCTGGACAAAGCAGCCTGACAGACTGCAGCCAGGATTTCTGAATCTTCTTCGAATCCCCCATGACAGTGCCCCTTACCAGCAGGAAGTAGTTTGGAAAGAACAACGCCCAAATTCCCAAATATTGTCTATAAATGTTTGTTTTCATTTAAATGGACTTGGTTATATAAAATAAAAAAAGAAAGAAAAAAGAAAAATATAAATTTAAAAAGGAAAGAAAAACACACAGGTAGAAAGGAAAAAAAAAGATCCTAGATTTGTTTGTGTGTGTGTGTGTGTGTGTGTGTGTGTGTGTGTGTGTGTGTGTGTGTGTGTACTAGAAACTGGACCATGGGAGAGAAAGAAGAGATTTTTTTTAAGGGGAAGAAGAAAAATGAGGGTACTACAAAATACATACATAGTGAAAACAGAATGGATAGGACTCTGTGGGACCAAAGTTGAGTTTAGCAGAGAGAGGGAGAGAGTGTGAGAAAAGACAAGCCACATGAAACAGGATATGTTAGGTCACTCAGAATCGTTATTTCCAAGTCAGCCATTTATTTTCACGTTTCATACCAAATGTGGCATGTTTCCTCTCATATGTGGATATGATTTGAAATTTCTCTCATACATGTTTTAACTCTTTAGTTACATGAATTTGAGCCAGAGTACCCATATAAGACACGAAACTGAGGGATCATCACAGTCTGGGGATAGAATATAAGTGAGATGAAGAAGAGAAGAGAAATATCAGAACAGAAAGGTTTAATGTGGAGTTACTTTAGGGAGCGATTACTAACACTATAGAAACATAGTATTATAGAAATTTCCTAAATCATATATGCATAAGCATAAAACAAGTTCAATTGGGGATATTCCCAAAGAGGGATAGTATATTTCTGTGGCATCATTAGCTTTAACATTAAAAACAAAAACTAAAACTAAAAAAAAAAAAAAAAAAAAAAAAAAAGACAAGGTAACGTATTAAAAGTGCCATACTGAAACACACTGCTCTGGATAACTTTGGTAACTTTTTACCTAATCTCTATCTTTTGTCTTTTTCTTCCTGTCTTCTTTCTTTCCTTCCTTCCTTCCCACCTTTCTCTCTCCTACTCCAGATATTGCCTATCTAAAACAAGCAGGACAAAACAAAATCTGACTCAACATTCTGAGGAAAATATGCTCTTCTATGCTAAAAGCTCAGTTCTCTCTGCCCCTGCTTCTGACTCATTGTCCATGCTTCTCCTGAAGAAACAAGTTGTTCAGAAATCCCTGGCTCAGCCCCAACTTTCAGAAAGACACTTAGAGTCAGAGTGACTCTACAATTAGAATTCTGTAACCAGCACCCTAGAAATGTTTTCTTTCTTGGTCAGAGGTAATCAGAGTTACACAGCCAAACAGACCAGTTTGGATGCTTGTCAAGAGTATGAATCATTACCAAAAAACGAAAAAAAATGCTATGTGGTGAAGAAGGGTTTCAGACCCAGGACCATTGTCAGATGGTCCACAAAGGATCTTTTTCACTTGCAAGGTCCTTCTGACATCAATAAGTAGGCTGTTTGGTTCAGTACTGAGGGAGTGAGGTTTAAATCACAATTACATATATCCATGTCAGCTATTTTAATACACGGACAATTTGTTGTTAACAAAAGAAAATCTGGCACATTGGAAGCACCTAGTTTATAACTAGCACTTTGAAGGATAAATGAATTAGTATATGTAAGTAAAACACTTAACACAACAGAATATGATAGTCAACAGATTTTACATATCCATTGAGTTTGAGAACTGAGTTTGAGAACTGAGACGTGATGAGTTTGAGGAGCAGCCATGTTAACAGAGTTTGGGAAAGCAGACTGTTCACTAAGGCTAAAAACAGGAAATGGAGACTTGCTTTAGGAGTGAACAATTCAAACCGAGAGAAATCATACAGGATGGAGCTAACAGACAGAAAATGCTTTGAGACTGTTGCAATGGGTGAAGAATATAATATTACAGTGAGAAAAATAATTAACTCTGCTAAAACAAAAGGCATATAACACCTGAGCTATGACGGTGAAATAATCAGTACTAAAGGACTCTGAGATGGGGAGGTTGGCCAAAGGATTAGGCCATCTGTACTTCATAAATTGGCAAGTTTTGCTCCACCTTCCCATAGAAACTGGGAAATAAGGGACTGTCTTCCCTGATTTTCTTTCAAAGGTATGGTTCACCTGACCTTGAGAAAGACATTTCTGAGTTACAAGACTGGCTAGGGAATGGGAGATTTTACACCTCAAAGAGGCGGAGAAATGGCTTGGAAATGCATTTGCAAGTGCTCCAAGCAAAGGGAGGTCAGAGAAAGAGCCCTATCAAAAAATTTAACAAAGTCAAAGGAAACACTAAGGTCATGTTGGTTGGTTACTTCTTTATACATCACATTTTCTCCTTCACTCAATCTATTTTATCTCCCCCCCACATCACTCAATCTGCTTAAACCTAAAACTGCACATGCTAAATCTTACAAAGATGTTTGTTTTCCTTGCTTTGTCTATGCACTTGCTGCTACTAACATCTCTTGGTTTTGTCCAACTCTCCTTAGATTGTACCACAATATAGATTCTCAGTTCTCCTATATCTTTGACATTGCTTCAAGTGCTGAAAGTCTTTGCTCACTCATGTTTAATTTATCCCCCAACTATTCCTCTCACCTCCCTTTCCTTTTTCTTTTAACTGTTGCATTCAGCTACCAGCTACGCAATGATTTTTCTTTCACCAAACACCTTTTTCACCATCCTAAGGCAAAGATCACAACTTCTAAAAGGAAGAAAAAGCTGTGTTCACAAAACTGAGAGGAACACAGCAGTGTGTTAAATGGGTGGCAAACTTGGACAGCAGATTTCATTGCTCTGCTTTCCCCTGACAGTTTCAACTGCAGTTATTCAACACAAGGATAATCCACACAGAGGAGATAAGATTACTCTTTAGATAACATTTTTTTATCACTGCA